GAGAAAATAAATCCTTGTTCATACTAATTTTGGTGAAAATAAATTTAACCTTCTTTTTATTAAACTTGTGAGAAAAATTTAAGCACTTATTCATATATTTTAACACTCTTCTAGTTAATTGAATGTTGCTTCTTAATTATATAAAGACAATATATCATTTGTTGACATCCGACCTGGTTAGACCAATCAAGAGATGCCACGTGGAGGATATCGCACTAATCGAACTACACGAAAGATGTTAGAATTCGAAAATGTTGACTTAGAACACCTCGGCATGGATCAGAGAGGTGCCCACCTCATCAGCAGACCGAAGAATGACGTCAGTGCGAAACCGAGGTTACGCCGGTGCATTAAAAGCAGATGGGACGTACGTCAATCAACCCCCATACCTTCATCATTACTTATGGTGCCCACCTTCATGCTAGATGCCCCCAGACCGTTAAAAGTGCATTTAATCCCACCGAACCAGTCTCAAAACGAGTCTGGGATTACTATAAATAACAACATTTATTCTGTATGATCATCTTTTTCGAACACATATAATACGCATATCAGGCAACTCAGTTCAACATAAAACCAACTTCTTGTACTAAAAACTCGACTTAAAATAATAAAAATCTAGCTACTTTACAGCTTCCAATCTACTTAATACCTGTAATTATCGTTGTCAAATTTCATATAAGAACATCATCTATTATAATTTGTATGTGGTTAATAACTTAAATTGTAGGCTCTCCAAACTTTTATAAGCATTTTATACATTATAATTCTTTTATATAGTATAATTTATTTTTTTACATTAATAATAGAGAAATAATTTTGAAAAATACCTCGAAAAAAATACATGTTAAAATATTCTAAAATGAGATACTTTAATCCCAAATATACTTGAGGCGAATTCTAATATTGTTGGGCTTGGGCTAAAGAAAATACGACGAAAATTTCAACGATGTTATTATAGAGCGATATTGAGCTATGAAAACTCATAAGTACATTATAAATGTATGTTTTTATATCTATACCTTTTTTATAATAGTATAATTTTTTTTCTAATGATAATTAGGCTCTCACTCATTCTATTAGCTAGATTCGGCCCTCGTTTTGGATGATGTGGTATGATGAAAAATATAAAAAGAGTTTATAGGGAACATTGTAAAGGATTAAATTACTATTTTTCTTCAAAGTGTAATTGCAGAACCTCATATCTATCACTTTTCAACTTTTTTTTTTCTTCAACGATAGAACATCTCCATTCAAACAATAAGATCAAACATACAAAGTTCCAAGACAACAACAAGATAAAAGCCGAAGGCTAATCCAGGGAGCACTACCACACTAGGTAGGCTACAAACAAACTAACAATCTATCATAACTAATCACCATCAAAGGCAGAAACAAGCTTCTGAACCCTCCAGTGGGATACACAGCTAATAATCAAAACATCAGATTAAGATTACAGACATAAATGCAACAAACCAGAGAAAACAAAAACACTGAACTGCAAGGCAGACCTATCTATGTCACTCTGAATCTGCTACACCTCCTCATTACTTGTGATTCTTGCCACTCAGTCCATGCCCCTTTCACAATGCTAGAAACTGGCCTCTATTCTCCTTCAAACACCCACAAATTCCTTGATTTCCACAGCCACCATAGGATGTAGGTTGTGAGTTTTATTCTTGCTTCATCCACAACAGCATTCTTGATTGAGCACACTGATCCCCACCAATCCTCAAATCTGCTCTCTTCAGCTTCTAATCCACCCCATTTAACCTGAGCTTGCTGCCACACCTTTTTAGCTCTCTTGCAATGCAGTAGAACATGTTCAATTGTTTCTTCAGCTTCCCCACAGCATCTGCAAATCACATCAATCTCAATCCTCTCCTCCTAAGGTTAACACTCACAGGTAAAGCTCCACTAACACACTTCCATAAGAAATGTTTTAGTTTTCTTTTCACTTGCAGACCCCAGCTTCTCTGTCTTATCTTCTGATTTCTCCTGCCAGTGCTACTTCCCTCAGGCAGATCCATAGCAAGTACCTTCTTTTGATGAAGAAAAGCATATGAAGATGATACTGAGAACCTTCCATGCACACTTAACTCCCATCTCCACTTATCTCTCACCACCAGATCAATCCCCTGAATTTGTAGTATAGCATCACAATCCTCTTGTGCAATAACTTCTCTCACCCTTTGGGTATTCCATCTATTGCTGTTGCCATCAAGCAGTTCCTGGACAGATATATCTTCCCCTTCAACACCTTCCTTCAAGTGGATTCTCCTGCCTCTAATGCCTGGCACCCAATTATAGTCACTAAGCTTGACAGATGCTCCATCTTTAATTTCCACCTGCAACCCCTCCCTCAACAGCCACCTCACTTTCCACCATGATCTCCACATCCAGGAAGAATTTTGATTCAACTTAGCTTCAAACATAGATGATTTAGGAACTACCTGCATTTGATGATTTTACTCATTAGTAGTTGAGGTTGAGTAACTACTCTCCAGAGCTGCTTGACTAGCATTGCATCATTGAACAGCCCCACTTCCTTAAATCCCAATCCACCCTTATCTTTGGCCAGTGTAAGGAGTTCCCATCTCTTCCAGTGCACCCCTTTCTTCTACTCCCCTCCACTACTCCACCAGAAATTGGCAAAAGTGCTACTCACTTCCTTACAAATGCTAGCAGGCAATCTGTAGCATGACATGACAAACAAGGGAAGAGCATTGAGCACAACTTTAATTAGGACTTCTTTCCCTGTAGAGGATAGGTACATGTTCTTCCAAATGACTACCCTTTTCCTCACAGCCTCAGTCACAAAGCCAAACACTTCTTTCTTTGTTCTCCCAATGCCAAGTGG